TCTAGTCCATTAGTGATGAGGAACAGATCAAAAAGATGTTGATTTCCTCCAACCTAGTCAAGCAGACATCTTAGAGTAGATAACTAACAGCGAACTTTGCTAGGGGATCAAAACTTGTTTAGAAATCCCAAGAGGCCAGGTCAATGAATGCTAGAATGACTCACTCTATCACAACCCTTTTTGTTGTTGTTTTGCAGAGGTGACAGGGAACAATGCATTTATTTGGTAACACAAAGCTGACTTGAATCTTAATGTCCATGAATGGCATCTAAAGACATTTTCTATGTCTGTGAAAAGACAAGGCAGTGAACTCACTGAGCTAACACACATACTAAAACACACCCAAAGGAAGCAGGCTAGTATTGATAACAGAATTGCTTAAATAAATGTATAACCTACAACGTGATCTCAGGATAATTTTATTGAATTACTCAACCTCTCCCTCACTTTGTGGTGACTTCTGAGGAGACTGAATGTGCATAATATATGAACTGACAAATGAACAAGTCCACTACTTTACTCAAGACTTTTCATTTGTCAACAGCATTCACGCAATACTGGCTTTCTGTCCCCTGTTTTCATAATGTATGTATTGATTACTTCCATCTAAATCTTTACTAGAAAATCTCAGGAAGCTTTGGAGGTGTCCTTATGGTCTCTAGGGAAGGAATTAGAGAGATTTTTAAGTTGAAAGATGAAAACCAAATGACAAACAATTTCATTAGTAAAAATGCAAACAAAACGTTATTACCTACAGTGTTGTTATAATCAAGGCCTAATTTCCATTTCAATTTGGGGTGGGATGAAGAGCATTAAATAAGCTCATGGTTTTATTGCCGTTCTCCTTAGAAATCCCCCACTATGATTTGCTCCTTTAAAACTCTCTCTAGGTTAATCACAGAAGTAGACAAGTAATAAATATCACTTTAGTGACTGCTCAAGTAAAACAAAGGAAGTCAGTTTTAAAAATATATCTGGACCAGAATAATACACACTAATTGAAAATGCGTCAGTCTAGTGAGGCAAGTAATGAGGAACCGTAAAAGCCAGGATAATGTATGCAAAAGATATAAAAATTGGTCAGTTTATATTTGCTAGGGCACATTTGAGCTTTAATTATTTATAACACTTCACTGCATATGGAGCATTATTTTATTAATTAGTCTTCAGAGTTATCCAGTTGCAGTTGTTATGCTGCCCAACTGGTTTGGGGAACACAGATCCACTCCCTGCTCTGGGGAATGAGACCGCAATTCCCAAATACCTGTGTGGACTCTCTTAGACTTTTACCTATAGGAAAACCATATACTCTTCAATCAGTCATTGAGATTGACTATGTATTTTTGCTTTAAGTAAATACAGTTCAGTTCAGTTGCTCAGTTGTGTCCAATTCTTTGCGACCCCATGGACTGCAGACATATGATATTTTGCTGTAAATTTCATCATGAATCTGCAATGATTTACTAAGAAAAGATAAATGGCCTCTTTTATAAGTATTCTGATCTATAGAAAAAAAGTGGAATATTTTTAATTACTATTTATACTTTTGCCATTTTAATGGGATTTGTGTTCCCATAAAAGAGAAACAGCATTAATAATTTCTAATAGATAGCAGGTGCTTTTTTTTTTTTAAGTGACACATCAAATATATGGGGAACAAGTTTACAATAATAAGTGAGCCATCTTAAAAAAAAAAGAAGTGAAACTTTTTGATACTAAAATATTTTATATAAACAGTATTTGGAGCGAGAAACCCTTCAAGAGCATGACATTTTCTAAAACGGCTACAAAACAAAATGTGTTCAAGACCAGATCTTGACAGAGTTTTCTAATGACTACATTCCCTTTACCTCTTCCTAACTGGGTTCAGAAGCTCTGATAGAGAGACCCGGTTTCAAGGATTTTCCCTTTGTTCTTTTTGTCCCCAGGCAGTGAGTGCATCACGAACTAGATAGCAATTCCACAACAACCATAAAAGGGCTACTGCATAAGGGTGACAGAACTGAGTAAACAGGTGCTAAATTGTTCTCTCATCAACACTTAGGAGTGATGATGTTCTTTGAGGGAGTACTTTGTGACATGGATTTTTCTTAAGGATACAAAGAAAATTTCATGGAAACATTAGACCAGAACACAAGGAAAACCAGAGGGCATCAAAGTAGCTTTACACACTATGAAAATATGCTTACTTGGGAGTAATCAAAAACCCTGCAAGTGAGGAAGGAACATCACTCTTGATTCTTTATCTCCCTGCCCTGGATCTCAGGAGGACAGAGAATGAAGAAGAGATTAGTTCATTGGCTGTTCTCCTCCCTTCCTGCCTCCTTATCTTCTTTCCTTAATTCCTTGGTTCCTTTATCTATTCAGTGTCTATCATGTACTAGATACTTTAGAAGGTGCTAGGTATAAAAATGACAACGCTCTTCCAAATAGAAAGCTTCTTGGAGCACAAGGTTTAGTGAATGTGGTTGACATTAATCAAAAAGTCACACATATGCACAATGACAAGTAATGTTACATCATAGAAATAAAAGTATGGTGTTATGAAGACATATAAAGGGAGATCTAGTCAAATGTGAGCATTGGTAAAAAGCTTGCTTGATGTCTGAGCAAAGATGTAAAGGATTCTTAGACATTAGAATTTCCTCATTCTCATAATTAGGAAATTATGAGGGGGTAGGTTTGGGTAGAAAGGGTTTCAGACAGAGGATCAGTATATTCAAAGCCCCACTTGAGAGGAACAGAGAACTGGGGAAAAAAACCAAAAGCAGGCGTTATAGCTAGTGTTGAGAGCAAGAGGAAGAGCAGTATGGGAACAGAAGGTTGGAGCCAGACCAACCTTGGGGGGCTTGGGGGTCCTGCTGAGGATTTGTGGTCATTTCCCAATGGCATTGAAAAGCCACCGGGGAGTGTTAAGATGAGGACTGACATAATTCAATTTTTATTTTTACATAGATTACACAGACTGAAAATGTTGACTGCATTGTAGGGTGGTAAGAACAGATACAGAAAAGTGAGGAGAAAAGGTCTCTAGAAATGGTGATGATGATACAGTAGACAGGGTCAAGAGAAGCATACTGATCCAGTGATGTGTTAGTGTCAGAAGGCTGGAGGTTGGTCATCCTGAAAAGGTACTATGCATCAGTCTGCTCTGCTGTTGTTTGGATAGGAGAAACTAGTTAGTTAGATTCTCCAAGACTTAGGATTTTGTAGATGACAGCAACAAGAAGATAAGGAAGGAATTTAGGGTCTTGAAAGAGTTATCAATATTAAAATGCTTGATGATTGAATCTAAGTTGGACTTGGAGGGAGACAGAGAAGATCAGTGGAACTAATATACAGAACCAAGAGTTATCAATAGGCTGGAAGTCCTGATACACCACAGAGAGGAAGCAGATGGGTATATGAATAAGTATACTAACCAAGTGGGGATTAATTCACTTTAGTATGGTGATTGTTAACCAGAACTCTAACATCACATCTCCCTAAAGCACATTGTTGATCATCAGATTATTCAGTAATAGGACTGAGATGATAAGGACTAACATTTTATTGGTGTTAGCAAGCAACTAAAGGCAATAATCAGGGAGAGTGAGGCTGCATTTATGACAAAAGGTAGGCTAGAAGGGACTGTGAAAAAACTAAGTGGGTCAAATTCCTCATCTTAAAGCTGAAAAACAAAGGAGCAATCACCATCTCATCTATGGAGGAGGAGGGCTAGAATCCCAATCTCCTGAATCCTAGTGCCCCTGTCCAATGATTCATCACCTTTGATTTCTGGAACTAGAATAAAATGATACCTTTCGTACAAATTCTGTCTTATCTCACTATATCATATAACAAATTCTGCTTAAAATGCCCATCCTTCTCAGTGAACCCTCTTCTACATATACACCAGAGTGTTTTAACTATTTATTCAAGTGTTTAGAACATTTAAAAATATAGCTATTCTATCATTTGCTGTTTAGTCGCTAAGGTATGTCTGATTGTTTGTGGCCCTATGGACTGAAGCAGTCTTACCAAGAAAAGTCAAACGCAAATATAATCCAGTGTGTAGAATTACACCATTCAGTAGAGTAGCTACTAGCCATATCTGAGCACTTGAAATGTGACTAGTCTAAATTGAGCTGTGTTGTACTCATTGTAACTGTAAATTTTTATATTGATTCCACGTTAAAATAACAATAATTATTGTTCTATAGCTATGTAAGATGTTACCACTAGAGGAAACGGGGTGAAATGCAAACGGAAACTCTCTGCACTATTTTTGGAACTTAACTGTGAATCTGTAATTGCTTCAAAGTGGAAAAAAAAAAGGGATTTCAAAGACAAATTAGCCAAACACAATATGTGGAACTTATTTCAATGCTTGTTTAAACCAAAAACGCAACCCCCCAAACCTGTTAAAACATTTAAGCCATGTATATGAGAAGTAGAAATTTGAATACTGCCGTAGTATTTGTCATGATAAAATTACTGAGATTTAAAAAGTGTTACAGTAACAATGTGGTTACCTTTAAAGAGCAAATTCTTATCTTTTAGTTTTATCAAATATTCATGAATTAAATGATCTGTACCTGAGATTTGCTTTAAAATAATCAAGGACAAAGTAGAAGTAAGATTGGCCATGAATTCATAATTGTTGGTTTTGATGGGTACACAGGGGTTTATTACAGAATTATGTCTGCTCTAGCATATGTTTAATATTTTCCAAAATAACACTTTAAAGTATCACCAAAAGACATAGGCAAATCTTTTTTTTTTTTTTTGGTATAGACATGGGCAAATCATAAATGATATTATTAATGCAGATGCCTTTGACATTTAAAATATAATGGCTTGGATTATTTCTAATTGACCTTTGGACTAGAGGAGTAAAAACGATTTCTATTAAACTTGATTTGTTTTCTTTTTTTCAAACTAATCTCAGTCAAAACTAATTTTAAAATAGTTGTTGAATGCTTACTATGTGCAAAGCACTATGCTTAAAAATGTCCTACCCTGTGTATATCATTCTGCTTCTGAACTGCTGGGAAATCGCCTCCGATAGGTGCCTGACGGCTCAACTCATCGTCTTTCAGCTGTAGCCACACCAGAAGTTCCTGAAGAGAAAGGTGCAGACGCTTCCACTGGTCAGAACTGGCTTCCAAATGGGACCTGGAAAACAACAGGAGCAAACTGCATGAGAATATCTTGAAAGATAAATGCTGGTTCTAACAATCCCATTAAGGTACCTTGGTTGGTTAGTTCCATAGTGTGTAAATGTACTGTGAATTATATAGCAGCCCTCAATAAAGGGGGGCTTCCCTGGTGGCTCAGACGGTAAATCTGCCTGCAATGCAGGAGACCCGGATTCTGTCCTGGGTCAGGAAGATCACCTGGAGAAGGAAATGGCAACCCACTCCAGTATTCTTGCCTGGAGAATCCCATGGACAGACGAACCTGGGGGCTACAGTCTGTGGGGTTGCAAAGAGTCGGACACGACTGAGTGACTTTCACTTCACTTCCTCAATAAAAATCTAGCTACCTGCTTTTGCGACCAACAATGGGGGGGTATTTTTCGGGGGCAACTTTGAGGGAAGACTGTTTAGCTATATGTTTATTTTAACGTGCAGAATTCTGAGACTTCTGGCATGAAATATACACTGGAAAGGATTGTTTTCCTGTAGTGTTGCAGTCAATGACTCTTAATGTCTCTGGTAGAAAAACTTGGACCCAGTGACTAATATAAAGCACTCAGTTTCTGTGTGACTCATGCTAGGACTGGAATTCTTTCTGTTTTGAGAAATGGAAAGGTCTCTCCCCATATTTTGATTTTTCCATTTCTACACCCTAGGCAGCCTCTTCCATTGACTCCTTCCATCTGGCAACTGCTCCTCTCTATGCCTCTCCCCATATGCTCTCCTCTGCATCGACCCTTCTTTATTCACGTGCACCTGGGACTTGTTTTCACCGAGTTCCAGCATTTTCCGCTTTGTTTCCTCTATGTAAAAGGTACTGAGACAACAACTCACGTAGAAAAGTCAAAGCCAGACATTGGCCTCCAAGCCTTCCCCCAACATGAATAATTTAGGCAAGAGGCTGAGTGCTTTACCATCAACTGTATTTAGAACATGGGAATCCGTAGAAGGCATTTAAGACTATACAAATGAATGATCTGCGTTATAGAATCCGTATTTCACTTGGGGATAAGAAGCTAAATTAAGGCAATAAATCATCATCCAGAAAACAAAGAAACTCAGAATGTGAGTCAAGCTGTACCCTCAGGTAAATCAAAAATTATGCTGCATCACTTATATCTTATCAGCAATTACTAATTAATTCATAAAAATTAATGCTGCCTATAATATACATACAATATAGTTTCTAATGTTGCAAAGATTGAAATGCAAAGTCACCAGGAATAAAAGCATTCCCCTTTGCCATTTCATAACTTGGCCTGATATTTCAAATACCAGTCTCCTGCTGGTCTTAGTCAAACAGAATCACCAAATAGTACCTAGGTGCTGAAATTAAATTACTCTAAAACTTTCTGAGGGAAATTTGATGATATATAAATGTCTTTAAAATGTGCAAATACAACAAGCCACAACTTAAAACTAAGGAATTTATTCTAAGAAAATAACCGGGAAAGCATGCAGAGATACAGGTAGAAATCTGTTATTTACAGCATACATATGACTGATACAAAGTAGAAATAGCTTAAATATTCAATACTAGGAAAGTGCTTACATATGTATTAGTGAACTCATACAACGCAATGTTCAAATCCAGTGAATCCTACGTGATGTTCAATGTGATGACGTAGGCAAATATTCACAGACATGGAATTCATAGTCTGTCCAGTGGTTAAGAAAGCACGTTACAACAATGTATATGATTTATTTTTCTAACGTGCTCGTGTGTGTATCTGTGTGCACATGTTTGTGCATGAAAAAAATTCTGAAACAACTAGTTTATCCCCCACAGCTGGATTTACATGTGATGTATTCCTTTATCTTTATACTTTTCCAAATTGCCAGAATTCTCTGTTGTGAGCCATATAGACATTATATACAGAAAAAAAAATGAAGGTATTTTCATCAGGGAAATTAATCTGTTCAAGACTCTAAGGACATTATCATCTAAGAAATGAATCATGACATACCATAAATATCATGAATTAAATGTAACAGTGAAGACTGCATATGGCATAGAGGTCAGTTCTAATGTTTCTGTTCCCTCCTCCTATTTCAGTTATCACTTGCCCAGGATAAGCCAAATGAGAGCTCCCTATGCAAGATTTTAGCTGTTTAATGACATGTAATGACTACTGGTTAAAAGGATTCCCTAGGGAGTCTGGATTTTGCAGCTTGGGCCCCTTGGGGGTAAAGGAGGCTGTCAAGCAGGACACATCGAAAGGTAGAGACAGGCACAGTACAGACATGGAAAGGCAGTGAATGCTAAATAAGACACTGATTAGATAAATATTTACTGAGTGCCACTCAGTCCCAATCAGGCACTGGGGAGTAAGGAGAGTGGAAGGTAAGGCAGGATATAAGCATATCTAGTGCCTGGCCTCCATGTTTCTGGTGAAGGAAATAATACCTCCCTGCTCAAGGGCAGGTGGACCAAGATGAGGCTTCCAACTGCTGCTTTCCTTACATAAGGCAATGCTACAACCCCGTCCAGGATAAACGGTGCTGACCAATTATTAGCAGGTCAATGAAACCCTCTGTGCCCCCTAAGAAAGAGGCAAAAAAAAAAAAAAGGCACTGAGAGCCAGGGAATTCTGTTCTAAAGGACCTAAGAGAAACTTCCTAGCAGGAGATAGAGCAGCTGTGAAGGGCCAGGGACACAGGATAGACAAGAGAGTTAACAGAACAGAAGGGCCTGGGATCCTGTGTGATAGAAAGCGCTCACTTTCCTGGGTGAGGGGGTCTTCCTTAGTCATCCCCGAGGCATGGAGTTAGATCACTTTCCCAAACATCTGATCACCTTAAGTACATATCAAATGACTTTCTGTTCCATGCTGAAGCCTGAGGATGAAAGGAAAGATGTGATCCGTGGACAAAAACAACAAGTTTATAAAAGACAGTGGACAGTGGGTTCAGGCTAGAGAGGAGAAACCGCAGTCAGATAATGGCTTCTGCTCTAAAACAACAGATAGCAAATTTATAGCCATGGTTCTCAAACTTTCATGTGCATATGAAACACTTGAGCAGCTTGTTTAATGTACAGACTCCTAGGTTTCACCCCAGATTTTTGGCATTTGAAATTTTTTATTGAAAAAAAAATAAAGTCTTATCGCTAATTTACAATATGATATTAGTTTCAGGTATACAGCATAGTCATTTGGTATTTTTGCAGCTTATACTCCATTTTAAGCTATTACAAGGTAATGGCTATAATTCCCTGTGCTATATAATATATGCTTGCTGCTTGCCTATTTTATACATAGTAGTTTGTATCTCTTAATCCCATTCCCTTAATTTGTCCCTCCTCTCCTCCCTCTCCCCTTTGGTAACCGCGAGTTTGAAAATCTAAAAAATAATCAAATGAATGTATATGCAAAAAAGAAACAGACTCGCAGATACTGAATTTCTATATTTTGAACAAGGCTCTTCACAACTCTGCTGGTTGTGAGCTCCAGCACCACCCTTAGAGGAAGAATTTCTTAAAGTATTTCCTATGTGCCCTAAGCATTACTTATTGGTTTCCACAGGGCAAAGGTGGAATTTGCCAGTGACATGATTTTTAAGAAGATCTAACTGTAATGAAATGCTCTGAGCTCAGAAAACATTTTCTCTGGCCATGCTAAGCTGGTGGAGTGTTGTCAAGACACATTTCTAATGCATTTGTTGGAAGCAGCTGCCCCATTTTTATTTTCAAGATTGTATACCAGATATTTCTAAATGATTAACCTAGGTTTATATTTGGAGTTTTTAGTTTTTCTTGAAAATGTTCCTTTGTATTTGTAATGACTGCCCCACCCCTACCCAATTTTATCATAAACTCTTAGGGTCGAAAGGAATTTTAGAGATTATTCAACCCGCTTATTTTGCAAATGTGGGAACTGAGAGACAAAGGTACAGAGACGCCTGCTGAAACATAAAACTTGAGCTGTCATATTGACGTGGGAAATGGAAACTACAAACTTTCCTCATATGAGGAAATCTTTAACCTTGATGGTTTCCACCAAATGTTTTGGAGTCCCTGAGCAAAATATATTTCCTGCTAATTGGCAAACGTACTCTATTTATCCCTACCTACTCAACAGAAAATGAAAGAGGATGTTTGAAGAGACACACTTAGGTTCTATGCATTTTCTGTTAATCTTTATTAGGATAAGAGCTTAGGGGTTACTAGCTTTTAGCAAGGCAAGTAGCAATCTTTAATAAGCAGATAATTTCTGTAATTTTTAAGGTTTAGGTAAAATGCAGAACCTTTAGGTATGCTGGGATATATAACTTGGTCTTTAAGAAACTCTTCAGTGTCAGGAATCTAAGAATTATAGGGCTGCTAAGGTGATTGTTATTTCTCTAGACACAGATATTTCAAGTGTGATTCAGTTGATGCCTAGTTTGAAATCCTTGATAAAACTTTACTCTGAAAGGCATCTATTCTTAAAGCAAAATGTGTTATATTGAATTCATTTTTCACTTTGACTTCCTTTATAAAACTAATGATATATCCCTGTATATCTTTGGTACTCTTGTGTAAAAAGATAGCATGCAAGCATACAGAAAGAAAAGGTAAGAGTGCAGAAATAATAAGGAACCACAGAAATAAAATGGGAGTTGTGGGGCTTTAAATAAAGAGAATTAAGCTCAAAGAGAAGTAAACATCTTTTTTTCCCACTGAGCCATGAACTCCAACTTTCAAACATAATTAATATCTCAAGAGTAAGGAAAAGGTCAGAGACACTCAGTGTCCGAGTAGCATTTTTCTTTCAAAGACAGAAAGACTTTGCTTTCTTTTGCTTTTTTTGTCCTCCATCAGAGAAAAGACTTCTAATTATTCTAATTTCTAATACCTAGTACTTTCTAAGAGATTTCCTGCTGCTGTGGACCATACAATGTTGGTGTCCTCACCTCTCCAATGAATTTTCAAAACTTCATAAAAGGGATTATCTTTATATAATATCTACAAGTTTTTTCCCCAAGTATAAAAATCTCACATAATATAAATTTTGCTGAAATGATGTGGATGTATGTGATTCTTATAGTTAATAACATATACAATAATCTGAAAAATAAATCTAGTGGCAGATTAAATTGTCTGTACTTAATTCTTATGTAAAAAATTCGCTTGATCACTTCTCAAATTATTCACATTTTCAAAATTAAAAGCACAAGGTTTGTAGATACAGAACATTTTAGAATGAGAAACACCTTAGTTGACACATTGCCGTGCTGATGTTGGATGATGTCATCAGTGACTCTGTGTGCATGCATGTGTGTGTGTGTATACTTAAGTAGAAAATTTCCACTCTATTTTTCTCCCACTTAAAGCAGTTAATCTTTAGTTCAATGGCACTTAGCTATCACTGAGTATTTACTTCTCTTTCTTATATCTCTTGGACAAAATGCAATGTGATAACACATGTGGAACAGATGGCATATACTTTCTTTGAACTAAATTATGAGATACAATTTCAATTAAGGAATTCTTTTCTCTCAAAGACATTGTATTTACTTTCTCTTATATCGTACCTTTGAACTTAATCAGTTCTTTTAAACATAAGAAAACCAAGGTAAAAAGCTCAATAATTTGCCATCACAAGGAGTGATTGTAGGATTTAAAATAATAGGATTGTAGAATTGCAAGGGAACTTGAAGAGACCACCCGTGTATCTGGTCTAACTTCCTCATTTTTGCAAGAGAGAAAATTAAATTCTGAAGCATTAAAGTGATTTGCTCAAGAATAGATGCTAGGTAGTAACAGAGCCAGAGGAGAAACCACATCACCCAACTGTTGGTCCAGGACCATTTCAACTCTACCTCACCAACTCATTTATAACTTGGAGTTCTGTGTTTGTCTGATTTAGCTGAAGGTAGCTAGCATAGTCCTATGACACAACTCATGAATACTTCAAAGAACTTGCCATCAAGTGTAATGAGAATAGTACAGGAAAGACCTGGTAAAGAAACAGTCAGAAAGGGAAACCTTGACTATGGAATTTGAGACAATATTTGGAGGATGAGAGGAGACACCGTGTTCGAAGTGTGAGGACTAACAAATGTATATACTCATTTGGGACAGTGAAAAAATTGTTTGAGAGCAGGGAGGAGGCTAGAAAGCAGAATTTATTTGAAGCTGAGATTTCATGTTGGGCAGTAACTAAATTGCTGCTTGGTGAGGAAGGAAGTGGGAAGCAGAGGAAGGACCGAAAGGGAAGGGGTTCAGTTCAGTTCAGTTGCTCAGTCATGTCCGACTCTTTGTGACCCCATGAATCGCAGCACGCCAGGCCTCCCTGTCCAAACTCATGCCCATCGAGTCGGTGATGCCATCCAGCCATCTCATCCTCTGTCGTCCCCTTCTCCTCCTGCCCCCAATCCCTCCCAGCATCAGGGTCTTTTCCAATGAGTCAACTCTTCACGTGAGGTGGCCAAAGTATTGGAGTTTCAGCTTCAGCACCAGGGGCTTATTAGGCATAGTTGATGGAGAGTGAAAGGTTCACTAAATATAAGCTTCATGAGAGCAGGGATTTTCTTTGGTGTGTTTTGTCACTTGTGTACTCTCCAGGCCTAGAAGAGTGTCTACTACAGAGTAAACATTCAGTGAATATTTGCTGAATGAGCACATCAATCAGTGAGTGAAATATGGGCACCAAGATGGAAGTTCTTGACCAGAGGGATGATAGGATAGAAACAGTGTCCAAGGAAGAATATTTTTGTAAATCTGTAATGGATGGTCTCAATGTAAAAAGACAGAGACAAATCTTCCACTACGGAATGACCTGATGAAGCCTTAAATAAGAATCACAATCATAGGAAGAGAAATGTAAAAATGGCTTCAGAATCTCTTATGAAACAATGAACAACTGTAATTTTTCAGTATAATATGTTGTAGCTTAGGTAAACACAAGGCTGTCTTTCCAGGGTATCCTTGGAAGTTTTTTTAATTATGGTGACTTTTCACTATAAAATAATGCCGATGGAGGAACTGACCAGATTGGCAATGCAAGCTTTTCTGTCACTGATGGTTCTGTATCTAAATGTTCCAGGATTCATCTATCCTATTCCATAACCATCCCCAATTACTACCTCTACTGTGCTTCTCCCAGCTGAACCCTGCCATTCAGCACAGATTGACTGATACCCTTATTTCAGCCAAGCGTCAGGAAAGAAACTGAATCGCTTTAATGTGAAGAATGACTTCCTTGCTTTTTTATAAGTGAGTGTTTATAACACATTCTGCATTATTTGAGAGCCCTACTTAAAAGCCAAAACCATTGATCTGAATATTTAAATTCTCGAATTGCAGTGCCTCAGATGAGCTAAGGTAACTGTTTTCTACTTGATTAATGACAGCAAGAATTCAACTGCAGTAGCTGGCATATGGGAAATTGCTGAGAATGAAAAGCCCATATTTTGGCTGACATGCTGTTCGCCACTTTCAATTCTCCTTTTATTTCATCAAGTTCACATGAAGGAGAGAAAAGGCACTGGGTGATGTTCAGAACAGTTGTAGCACCTTTCTTTTTCTCTCCCGCAAGAAAAGAGTAACTTTCTTTTCTTTATCTACCAGCATCATTCCCATCTCACAAGTTTCATTCCTTTATAATGACAGATATTCTGAAAGTGGCCAGTGTCATTACAGACACTGACCTCTCTAAGAAATGAACCTGTAGAACGCAAATGGAGCTTCCTTATCTTTGAAAATGCCATTGCCCCTTATTGCCCACAATGACAGGTCCATACAAAATTCATGGATCAAATAGGGAGAGAGAAATGAGTGCCTTGGAAGCTGGGGTACAAAGCTGGCGGGTGGCGGTGGGACCACAGAAATAAAAATACTTTTCTCCTCCCAGAAATCGGCTTCTCTGTTTTATCATTTCACATATTACATGTTTATGTGTACACATTAGGTGAGACTTACCCTCTCCTTCTGCCTTCATATTCTCTGCCATAATATGATGGCTCAAAGCTCAGACTCCTGAGCCAGACCTCCCTACATTCTAATCTTTGATCTGCCACTTACTAACTAAGTGACCTTGGGGAAGCTATTTAGCCGCTCCTGCGTTAGTGTCTTCAAATGCAAAGAGAGGATAATAATAGAATGTCTCTCTTGGAGCAGCTGAGAGTGTTAAATGGGTCAACAAATCTACAGTGCCCAAGACACTGCATGCTATGTGAAGCATACCGTGTAAGTGATCGTTGCTACCGTCATTATTATGTCAGATGAAGTGCAGATTTCTACAAGAGTGCTTTCAAATGAAGAAATTCCAGTTATATTTTGTCCTCGTTATAGAAGCAAAGACACTCTACGTCCAAATTTGGGACAACTTAGAAGAACTTATTAAGAAGAAAAACCATCTCCCTCTGGTCATTACGACTGAGTGGTGGTAACGACTCCCAGTGTGGAGTGCGTTCTGCTTCTCCCTCCCTGCAATAACAGACCTCCTCTCGACAAAGAAAGAAAAAAGAAAAGAACACAAAATACTTTACAAAGAGACGTGAATTAGGCAAAGCAACTGATTAGAAAGCAGGAAGCCTGCTTTCCAACCCTGCACCTCCTATGCCACCCAGGTGACCCTGGGCATTTCATTTCCTCACTCTCTGTTCCTCAGCCTCCATTGAACTACTGCAAAATGGGTACAAGCAAGAGTGTCACTCTGCCCTCCTTACAACAAAGCTGGGATGTGTTCATTATCTTCTGAAGAGAATGCTGTTAACACAGAAAAGGGCAAAGTGTGAAACAGGTGGGTACAGAATAGCTAAAGGCAGAGTTTAGAGAGGATGTGGAAATACAATGTGAGAGGGACAAAAGGCAGGAAGGAGCTGTCATCTCTCCAGGGCTATGGGAGCTGTGGGGAGATTTCCTTTAAGTTGCTAACTATAACATGTTATGGTATTTGAAGAATGTCCTCAGTAATGCATTTAGAATAATGCCAAAGAAAGAATTCCATAATAAACATACATCAGTTTTATCACTTTTTGAATTACCGTGTGATAAACCAAGAGAAAATGCTATGAAATAGGATAGCTGAGCTCCTCATTTGAATTCACTCTAATGTCTTAATATATATGTCTCCCATGGTTATAAAACAGCACTATTCTGATCGCATCTGAACCCTCAGCTATCACCTCCATACAGAGCAAATAAATGATTCCTTTATTAAAAATAAAACAAGTCATTCCGAAATTGGGGGATTTACATAAACATAGGAGATATTGTGCTAGGAAAATGAGGGGAAGTTTGCCATTTTAATTTCTTTCTGGCCTATTTTAGTTCGGGATCTTTTCTTACCTGATGTTGAGAGACTTTTTTCGCAGCTCACTCCACTTGAAATTCATGTTATCCAAACGTCTTTGTAACAGGACCGCGTCATCAGAACCTTCCAGGGATCTCAGGATTTTTTGGCCATTTTCATCTAGGTTGTGATAGATATCTGTATGAGCTTCGATTTCTCCTTGGAGTTCCTACGGGGCATCAGTGAGAAGAACACATGCAGAATTACTAAACAAAAAAGAGACTGGCTGTGACTGTGAATTTGGCAAAAAAAAAAAAAAAATAGCCTATTAGTTCAAAAGGCATTTTAATGGTTCAACTAACAAGAAGATATACCTCCAACTAACAAAAAGATACACCTCCAACTCTTCCTGGTATATTATCTCTTTATGTTATTATGCAGATTCAAATTCAAAATGGGCATCTTGCTAGGTATAATAAATTTATTCCTTGAGATGAATTGGGATATAATATTTATATTTATAACTTTATATATAATATAAAATAATTTATATTTATAACTTTATAAATTTCTTAACTTCTGTTTTCCAGTTCATGGACAAAATACACTGTTTATGGAAGTGATAGGAAATAAAACTGCGTGATTAAGGGCACCCTGGTGCCAATCACCGTATTACACTCTGAGTCGAGTCATATTTTCCAAGCACATAGTACTGTGTAGAATCAACTCTAGCCACAAAAGCATGGAGAGACTAATCAACAAGGTTGAACTGGTCCATAGCACCAGCACATTCATGGGATTTGATCATACGAGCCTCTTGACAATACACATTAAGTTCACCTTGGTAAGACAACCTCATACATTTATTATAGCATCACACATTTGGTAAGATTTCCCATTTAAAATCCCATCACATTTTTAGGCTCAACAGGTGGAAAAGTCCCAAGGACCTTTATAAGAGTTATAAGAAGTGATGCCTTCAACCTCATTTGTCTATACACAGATCAAGAAAATTATCATAGTAGAAGAATCTGACCTTTACATGGTATGTCTTCCTGTGTAACATTTTCAGCTTGAACCGGGGACTACAGCACTGATCCTGTTGCATAGCAATCCTGAGAAAACCCAGCGACTGAAAGAGCCCTGCTTTAAAATGCCAACTTTGCTTACATTCTGTTGACAGAATGAATTTCAGAGCACAGGCCTCACCAGTCAATAATAATAAACAGCCACTCTGTACTCCTCACTAAACGGTAGCCAGGCCTGTGGATGTGGGAGGGACCTCGCAGAGAGGAGGCCTGGAATATGCAACTGACAGTTTATATTACACAGCCAACTTTTCTTATCATTTTGCCATTATAAGCCAGAGACATTATAAATTCACTTTCTATGTGTGTTTCCCTCCTTGTTCCCAGCAGAACGGTCAAAGCCAAAGGAACATTCCTCAGAGAGCTGCTGGCTACTAGCATTCCTTTCTGCCCACACAATGAATGGAGGCTTTGTACATTATCTGACTTGCTCTGAGAGATTTGTATGCTTCTGTTCAACAAGTTTAAAAATTCATTCTGAAGCTCTGAACAATTGGATTGATCTGTGTAACTAGAAGAGCCCCCCCCTCCACCTTTCTAAAATTGAATTAAATTACTCTTCTAAAGGAAGGAAGGAAAAGTGGCAGCAATAGCATATTACAAAATCTGAGGAACTGGCCTGTGTTTTCAGTCACGGCCTCTTAGATGCAGGATTTTGAATGTTTCAGGGGTCAGGTAGATTGAAGATGAATGACTCCTGTCACGGTTTTGGGCAGCCAAAGTATCACTCATGGACTCTAAGAAGAATTGTCTCATTCCCTTCGACTGGCAGGCAGGAGGGGAATGTGGAAAAACCATGTCTGAATTCGAAAGAATAGAAATACTAAAACAGATCGAGGAACATCTATCTTTATCCCATCAAAAACAGGCTTGTTCTGGAAGGGAATAGCCTGATTTTGAAACTAGCTGATGTGATAGAAAGCTAGTATTGGGCTTCTTGCTGAACGGAGCATGATCAAATATATATGCAATTTACATTTGTGTACCTACATGGGAAAACATGCCCTGCTGAATTTGCCACTTCTTCAGTGAAAGAGCAAAGTGAGGTTAACATATCTAAATAATTCAGGACTAAAACCCAAACAGATTCAAGTTCTCAAGATAACGCCCCCTACTTTTCTCTTTTACTTTACTCTTGTTGTATTTGATTTGTTTGCTACCTACAACTGTGCCTCAGAGCATACACTTAAGGAATTAAGACCAAACCTTTTGTTGTCAACAAATGAAGATATTTTGACTGATACAATCAGCTTTCTACATTAGCACGCATATAAATCATAGTACATTTGAATTTTTACATCCTGCATTTATAGCAGAGACCCAGGCTTAACCAATAGTTCTTTAGAGATTATGTGTATTGTGAAGTCATCAAGACTTTGCTGAAGAAATGAGAGGTCTTCCCAAGCATATATAGGATGGTGATGCATAGGTCTGCTAGTTTTCATCTTTGCCATTTACACTGCCCTGAATTTAAACATCTGTGTTGTATCATCAAGAAAGAAATGAATATAAAATGGATAAAGCGGTATTTGTTGAGGACCAGTTATGTGTCTAGCCATAGCACTGTAGGAAATATAAGAGGAAGGCAAGAGACAGTTATCCTTATACTTTTTCTAGAATCTAGTGTGCACTTTTTCTTTAACTCATTCATATTACTAACTACACATTGAGAATTCCCTGCCAAACCTCATAGATACTCAGATTAAAATTTCTTCCCTTGGAGATTCAGAAGTAGCTTAAGTAAAGTCCTGACATTGGCAAGAAAGTAACTCAACTCAGTATTACTTCTCTAATTAATGATGGTGGTTTGGAGCAACAAATGTCACATGTATAGTAAGAGAGCTTTACAGTTTACAGTTCAGTCACTCAGTCGTGTCCAACTCTTTGCGACGTCATGAATCGCAGCACACCAGGCCTCCCTGTCCATCACCAGCTCCTGGAGTCTACTCAAACTCATGCCCATTGAGTCAGTGATGCCATCCAACCATCTCATCCTCTGTCATCCCCTTCTCCTCCTGCTCTCAATCCCTCCCAGCATCAGGGTCTTTTCCAATGAGTCAACTCTTCCCATGAGGTGGCCAAAGTACTGGAGCTTCACCTTCAGCATCAGTCCTTCCAATGAACACCCAGGACTGATTTCCTTTAGGATGGACTGGTTGGATCTCCTTGCAGTCCAAGGGACTCTCAAGAGTCTTCTCCAACACCACAGTTCAAAAGCATCAATTCTTCGGCGCTCAGCCTTCTTCACAGTCCAACTCTCACATCCATATATGACCACTGGAAAAACCATAGCCTTGACCAGATGGATCTTTGTTGGCAAAGTGATGTCTCTGCTTTTTTAATATGCTATCTAGGTTGGTCATAACTTTCCTTCCAAGGAGTAAGCGTCTTTCACACTTACAAATGTATCACTTTAGATATTCCTACTCCTTGCCCTGTGAAGTACATGGTATTTTCTCTGTTTTACAGATGAGAGCACTGAGGCTCAATAATGTGTAACTGAGTTGCCAAAAGTGTTAAATGTGGTCAATGGATGCAGTTCTTTTGACTCTGGAAGATCATAGGCTGTCTACACACCATTTGCAATAAGCACTGGCTGTAACGAACAGTGGTTATTTACTCAAGCTGAACAAGATTACTGCTAACAAGGGGGGAAAATGACTATTGAGGCAAGAGCACATGGAAAGACAGCATTGCTGCTTTTGATCAAAATTTACCCACACAGATTGATTCGTTCAAAATGAAAAATGGAATCCTGACTACTCTTTTCACTTTGCTATTGGGCATCTGGGACCACCTGTGAGGCAAACTTCTTTGCATGGAGAAGGTCTCCTTACTACAAAATATCCCTGCTGACAGAACAGAAATTCTCTCAGCATTAATTCATTCCTTTGTCTAAAGGAACCATGTGAACATTACATGAAGTAATGAGGTGACATTACAGCAGGGACACAGTTTGACCACGTTCTTTTGGGTTGGCGGGCTGGTAGGGATTCCGTCAAACTACAGGACCCCGGTTGGTTGCTCAGCCATGGAGCTGAGCATCCGTGGGGACCAGAAGGTTTCTTTAGGAAGTCGGCATGCTGGAGCGGAGATTTTTCAGTACAACCAGGCAGCAAGAGAGCTAGGCAGGGATGGAGACAGCCACAGGGGAAGTAGGAAGGCACTTACTCACACTAGCATAAAATTACCACCAGGGCATTTATCTAAAGGTGAACCTTTAGACTCAGGGACCCCAGAAAAGCAGGATGTTGGGATGCAGAGTCAAGTGGACTTCTCAGAGGAGACCCAACCTGGGCAAAAAGTAATTTCCACAGATATTTTTAAGGAGTTTCATTTCACTCCTGACTTAACAAGAAAACATCACTCAAGCCTTAGTTGCTACATTCGCTGTAAGTTTTCTCTTCTTTTTGTGATTGTATTCTTTAGGGAGACAAGAACTCATGAACAGGGGGAAAACGGATATGTAACAACAGAGACCAAGCAACAACATATATAATAAGGCTTCTTTTATGGCAGACACTGTCTAAAGCACTGGATATACATGAGCTCGTTTAATCCTCTCGGTAACTCTCTAGGGTGGACATTATGAACATCTTCTCTTTACACATAAGAGAATGAAATTACAGAGAGGTTCTGTAAAAAACACACAAGGTCACACAGCTAATAAACCATGCAGAGAGATTTTTCAAACCCTGGCCGTCAGACTCCAGGGACTGGACTCGTACCCACTAGGCTCTATCGCCTCTAACTTTTTTCCTATTAATTAAAACTGTTTCCTATTAATTTTTCTTAGTAATAATACTCCTGCTCAAGTTGCAGCAACTCTAGCACTGCCATTAGACAAGGTAGACTAACATTGTTTTCTGTATTCCAAGAGTGATTTTACGGTCTTATTAATATGGAGACTGTTAAACACATCTGAGGCAGTGAACAGATATATCCAATTCAACGAGAGCATAAAATAATTGAGAAGATGGGTGTGTTTACATTTTATGGTGCCTAGTACTGACAAATGTCATATGCCTGTATTAAACAGATGAATCCATAAAAAAAGAAAAGAATATGTAGTCCCTCCCCTCAGAAAGAGAACTTTAGTCTAAAGTTATGTATAATTATGGAGCAAATTTCAACTGTGAAT